CAAACTTTTAGAATATAAAATGAAAAAACTTCTTTAAAAATCTTCCCATGAATTGTCTTTTTTTGCATCCAGCATATTAAAAACAGATTATGCTTTTCTAAATATAGTTCTAAAAGAAGAAATAAAGTAAGTGTATTTTACTTGGAAACAAGGTTTATTTACATGGTGTCCTGTCTGTATGTTGTGGTAAGCCATGAGAAGCAGGGTCATCTTTATGGCGTGGCTGCATAAGCAACTGAAGACCCCTCCCAACTCTGTCCTGGGTGCAAGTGTTTTTTGCATGTTTGAGGTGGAGCTACAAGGCATGGGGAAGGTGGCCTACCACTTCTACCCATCCGAGAATAAATTTGCACATGCAAGACATCCTCTTGAGAAATGTCACATTCTGGACAGAAAAAAAAAAACATTAAAGCTTCTGTATTACATTTAGAAGAACACATCAGGAACACTTTCAAAAGCTTAGAAAAAAGGCTGCTTTCCTACTGAGTTAAATAGTAAGTGAGAATATTGTACATAGGTGTGTGTTCAGAGCTTTCACAAAACACACCTTGTCACTATCAATAGCTAAGTGAGCAAGTAGGCCCTGACCTGTAAATAAACACTCTAATTCTGAAACTTGTTCACAGACTCTGTTAAGAAGCTGTTCTAAAAGGCAAAACAAAAAGGTCTACAAATTAGTGAGAAATTCACAAACCAGAAACGCAATACATTTGTTCTTTTTGAAATGAAAACAGAATTGTGTTGCATTTTTAGAATAGTGACTAAGAACTGACATTCCCTTTTGTAATTAAGAAAAAATTATTCACAATATTGAAGAACTCAATACCTCAATAGGAAGTCATGTGGTCTCTCACAAAGGAATGCAGTAGTGCCCAGCTCCAGCCATTCAACAATTCCTTCATCAGTGTGTCTGGGCTTGTTCACTTTTGTCTGGCAATACATGTCAGAAAATATTGGCAATCCTTCAAGAAAATGATTCAAAAGGTGATTTACAATTGGCTGGTGCTAGCCCCTGATGCCTGTGTGACCTCTGCCCTAATTTTATAAGAACAAATTAAGGACATTAAGCCAGAGGATAAATGTACTCCTCAAAATACCCCCTGGTATGTAGTGCTGGAGTCAAAAGCTACAGGAAGTCATGAAGATGCCAAACAGAATTCCTTGCCACCTGTTTGAGCACGGACACCTTCGGTCTGCACCTTTTTCCAGCCACAAAACTTAAAGCCGAGGCAACACTGCTCACAGTGGAGCCAGCAGCCTCATGCAGGCTGCATGAAGCCAGTGCTCCCTACCTCACCCACTATCTTTTTAAACATCTGATTCTTTCTTTGAAAAGTGACTTCTTCCAAATTAATTTTTTTTCTAAAATATGCTCTTAACAGAGAGAAAAATCACTAGAAAAATCACTCAGTTTTAATTTTGGAGATTTAAGCATTTAAACTCCTATGTGTGTGGGTTTTTGTTCTTACTTTATTGCCCTACCTATGATATTCACTCAGTGACTTTACACTTTAGGCACTTTGAATGAATCTCTCTTCATAATGGTATGGATGCTAAAAACCTTCCAATAGTTCACTGTTATTAGTATCGTTATTGTGGTGATGAATTTTAAAATTCTGTGCATATGCACTCTATTCCTTTACCTGAATTGCACATTAAAATATCAAGTTATTTTTAACCTTAGACCTAGGAACAGATAGAAAATAAAATAAAAAACTGCATATAAATTAACATGCTAATTAAAATACAATTCTAGCACATTGTTCTCTTACTAATGGAGAAAAGACCAAAACATCTCTGTTCTGCCTTAGACAAAAAAAGTAGTATCTGTAATAACACGGAAGTATGGATGAATCCTTGCTTAATATCTCACATACAGTAGTGCTTAATGATCACTAAGAGAATTACATGAAGAATAGAAGAGCGTCAAGTCAAATGACCCAAACATAGTGAAATCAGCACCGGCAAACCTAACAGACAAAAAGCTGATGACAAAAAGCCATTGCAGTAGTTAAGATTTTTAGAATCCAGTTTTAAAGGCAACCATCTCTCAAGGGTTAAGAGCACTGACTACTCTTGCAGAGGTCCTAGGTTCGATTTCCAGCACCCACATGGAGACTAACAACTGTCCCTAACTCCAGTTCCAGGGGATCTGATGCTCTCTTCTGACTTTTGAAGGCATTGCACAACACGAGTGCACTTACATGCATGCAGGCAATACACTCATACACATAAAAAAGAAATTTAAAGGTAACCATCTCTTACTTTGCTCTCTTCAAATTTATATATAGTCAATTAAGGGGGTATGCCTATCAAAATACTATATATAATATGTATATATACATCCAATTATATATATCCAATTAGCATCTGTGTGCTTGATCATGTAACATAGTCCTTCAGACTAGTAGACACAATTGAGCACACAATTGTCTTTACATTCAAACACCAGCTTGAAAACTTAACTCTATCACCTTGAGCCATGGTAAACCTTTAAGAAATAACTCCTCCCATAGCTGCCTACTATAGCTCTTAACTAAAGTTAAGAGAACTGAGGATGAAAAAATCCAGACTTACTGCTGTTAGGCCTCAGATTCAGCACCACACCAGAAAAAAATTTACAGAAAAATTACCTCCATCTGCAATTTTACATTCTTAGCAGTGGCATGGTGGATTAGGTCAAGCAATTTTCTGACTGCAAGCACTTCCAGGCAGGGTTTATGAATGGAAACACGTGAAGGCCATTCTGGCGAGTTCTGTAGCCCCATACTTTCTCTCTGAGCTATTTATGGAAAGTGTATGGCCAGTGGAAAAACAGCACATTTATTTTTACAAGCCAGTCATGAAGAGTTCTACTTCCCCTCTTGGGGAAGGTCACCTTCACCTGAGTGATATAAAAGGTAAAGAAGGAAGAAACCCCTTTAACTAATGGCACTCAAGTCTTAGACAGCCCCAGGACCAAGCCACGGGGCGACGGGCACAGTCAGTCAATCATTGTCCAGGCATGACTCCAGGAGCTGCTCTTTGAGGTGTCACCTAGATCAAGACTTAACAAACGAAAATAAAATGGATTAGCTAATATGCTTCAAAATTCTACTGCCGAAACAGACTGAGGATAATGGAGTGGATTCTTACTTACAATTTGTCATCTGTTTTAGATAGTTAAATGCAGAAGGGTAAAACTGAATTCTAATCGAACTGGCAAAATGGAGAATGTGGAAAAGCATTTTTAAAGATTTTTATTTTGATTGCTATATTACCCCTGAAATGTGTAGTAAGCATGGTTAGCTCCATGCAACTATTAAGACTCACTAAACATCTGCTTCTAAAACAGCATCATCTACTTTAACAGACATGATATAATTTAGCCAATATATAGTCAAACCATTTTGGATCTTGAATAGTGTATATGATACCTATTCGCAAACAGGGAGGGAAGTGGATATACTGTTTTCAGCCTCGATGTCTCCATGCCAATGTTCTGTGATACAGAAGGAAGGCAGAGAGAAAGCAAAGAAAGGAAAAGGCAGGAGGAAACAAGGTGAGGCCCCTTCTCCCTGGAGCATGTGGGGTGGGGAAAGTGTGTCATCTCACTGGCTCATGCATCATAATCACTTGAAAATGATATGGGTATAATTTTATCCTGAAGTGGCCTCTGCTTAAGGACAAAGACACAAACAGAACAAGAGGCAAGTTTTGTTTGTGGACCCAGATCTCCAACAAAAACTAAATGACAAATTCTGGGGTTTAGCTCCTGTTCTCAAGTTCATAGATGCTTTCAGATGTCTGTCTCTTAAAAATTCCTTCCAAAAGGGAGGTCTCATTTGAATAAAACAAAAACGAATCAAATCAAAACAAGACAAAAACTCCCACAAAATACTCTTCAACCGGTTTCTCTAGATCTGAACCAATGTTCTTTGAGGCTTTAGAAGAGACAACCACTTGCAAGTAAGTCTGTATGTGGAAATATCCTGATTTTCACAGTTGTCCTTGAAACACATGTACTGAATTAAGTTACAGCTGAGGAATAATCTCTGTGGTAAGCACACATTATCAGCCTCTGACCTAACAGGAATCTCCTTGCATTTTGCAAAGGATGAGACACTGAGGTTTATCAGGATTTGTGCAAAGTGTATTTACAGTCCCATTAAGAGGTATTAAATTCAATACAGACACACATAAATTCAACTTCTGTGTGCAGATGAACATACACAGAACGCTGGTTCCTCCAGGGACTTGTGCCAAGCTTCTCTATTTATAAATACAGTAGCAATTCAAAGCATAAACAAAACCAGCAATCTTTTCAGGAGCACCATCTTACCAGTACTGAGGTAAATGTTCATGTACCCTATGTGCTTGCTCTAAATTATACCATGAAGCCAGGACTCCCCATTCACTCACTTAGTTGGCTCTTACTCAAAGGACTTAACCAAGAAGTGTGACGAATATTTAAATAAGTCACCTCAGTGGTTTGTGTTAAAGAGTCACCATCTCAACGACAGACTAGCAGTTATTAAAAATGCCTAAATAACACTGGCCAATATGACTACTAGAAAGTATCTTGCGGGTGTGTTTACCAATTTTCAAGGACTTAGGGTGACTGCCAATCATTTCTATAGTCTGGATCCAAATGAGATTTTGGTGTTTAGCTGAAAAATTATAGCCTTACTTAATTCAGATTTCAGTTATAAGTAATATGCTCCTGGCTTTCATAACACAACTGCCTGACTGAACCCTGAATGTTACCTTTTTAATTTAAGCAAGGATGCCTGGCATTGCTGTCCTTCCCACCACATTACAGGGCTGGCTCTTTCTCGCAATGCAGAGACCAAATGCTCTACATGCTTCTAAGCTTTTATCTGGTCCTACCAAAAACTTAAAACCAACCCCATCTTCCTTCTCTTCTGGATGGAATGTTTGACCCTGATTTGCAGGAAAGTAAGAAAAGAATGCACCGTTCTCCCATGCAAGAAACTATGTTTGAGGACCAGTCATTTGGGCATTACTTCAAAAGGCACATTTATTCCCGTGGCAGTTTAAATAAATAGAGAGGAAAGAATGAGATTCAAAAATAAAACAAAACAAAAACCCAGGGTGGGTTTTGTGTACTACATTAAGTAGGAATTGGAGACATATACAAACACACAAGCTCCTCACCCGTAGTCCAATCAGAGTTCCTAAGCAGTCATTCACAGTTTTATCATGACACTCATAGGCGTTCAGAAAACACTGTTTTAAAAATGTAGTAGAGAACGCTCAAGCCTCTTGCCCTAATGTCCAGCTCGAATGTGTGCAATGCTGAAGGCTATGAAATCAAAACTATGTGACAAAGAAAATTCAGTGCATATCACAGGCTTTGATAAATTACGAAAAATCATTGTATATATTATCATTTAAATAACATCTGAGAAACATTGTGAAATAATTAATTTTTGTTCACATTCCATGCATTTTCTAGCAGGTTATGCCCTGGGTTTGTGTCCTTGTGCCCATTTTCCCACAAAGAAAGCTCCATTCTTTCGACAAACCCAAGCATTTCTCGATGCTTGGCAGTACCCAGGGATTTTGCCTGTTTATCGTCTTTACTGCCTACCTGACTTATTAGGGTTACCTGCTATTACCTCGGACACAGAAGACTATCAGAAAAGCCAACGGCTTGGGGTTCTATCTGGAATTTTCTTTACTGTCTTTGCAAAATCCCTGGGCCTCATAGACACTACCTGATTTTCCAGAGGCCCTCTTCCTCCTGCTTCGTCCCCAATCCTCCTCTTCCAAAGGCCAGTGAACTGGAATCCCCTACTAGCCAAGGGCCTTTATCCCTAGTGGCTTGCAGCACCCTCCGCTAGCAAAGAAGGAAACACAACAAAACTTGAAAAACAAACCAACAATAACAACAACGGAAACTTCAAGCAAATAGGAGGGCAAACCATAGCCTCCTCCAGGACGGAGGCTCACTTTTTACTGCAGAATTCGGCGTTGTTGAGGAACTTCCTGATGACCAAGCCCAGGCAAATCACCAGCAGCAGCATGTAGCCCACCGTGCCGGAGAAGGTGGGCGCAGCGGGCGGCGCCTGGAGGAACTGGCGCAGTCCCTCCTCCACGTAATAGACCTGGTCATAGATGCTGAGGAAGGTGAAGATGTGGAAGAGCTGGTGGCTGTGGCCTATGATGTCGAAGAGGCCCGGCTGGATGCGCTCGGGGATCTTGCTGACGTTGAAGAAGGCGGCCACCACCAGCCAGAAGTAGCGGCGGTAAAAGTGCACGAAGAGCGTGGGGTTCTCGCCTCGTAGGTCGAAGAGCCAGCTCTCCAGCATAATGGGGCAGGCCATGCTGAGCGGCATGATGAACACGAAGGTGCGCAGGGCGAACGGGTAGGAGCACCAGTCAGTGCGGCTCTTGCAGCAGGCCACGGTGCAGGCCACCGCCAGCACGAAGGCCACCGGCAGCACCAGCGCGCGGTAGACGGCGATCAGGCGCGTGCAGTCCACGTGCCAGCCCAGGCGCTGCTGCACGTAGGGCGTCATGACCCTGGCGTCCAGCAGGCTCAGGCCGGGCAGCAGGTAGTAGTAGTAGGCCACCGTGCTGCCGAAGCCATAGTAGCTGATGGACGCGTAGTCCAGGTAGAAGAAGGCGGCGCGCAGGCGCAGCGACAGGCAGCTGAACACGTGCGCCGTGCAGCTCATGGCGAAGGTCAGCAGCACGCCCGACGCGTAGCACCACAGCGGCAGCAGCCACGGGTGGTGGAAGGGCACGTCGCGGCCGCTCAGGAAGAACAGGCGGCAGAACTTGCTGAGGAACAGCAGCAGCGGGATGAAGTGCGTCCAGAAGTTGAGCGTCTCGTTGGTGGGCTTCAGCACCGAGGCCAGGCACTCCTGCGCGGTGCATGGCAGGCGCCGGTACCCGGACAGGATGAAGCACTCCACGAAGTCATCCGGCACCTCGTCCCAGCGCAGCAGCGGCTTGGAGGCCGCGGGGGGCTCCGCGGGAGGCTGCGAGCGCCGGGCGGCAGCCGGGCCTCTGCTGCCCGCGCCCCGCTGCTGCAGGCGCCGCGGCATGGC